AGATAGTGACCATTACATGGGAAAGTGTCGACCACGCCGTCTCGTCGAGTGAGGTGAAATCTATATTGCGAATAATAGCATGGCCACGATCTTTGTAACGCCCGTGTTTCTAGGATAGACATTGATGATGATGTAATAGTCTAGGTCAATCTTTGTAACTTGTTTTGAAATAATAAAGATGTATTATTTGAGTATTATATACTTATAATTAATTATTATGATTTAATAAATTAAGGATAAAAATAAGTGTCTAAAATAAATGTTAGATAAACCTGATATCTATGAAGGAAGTTGTAGTGGTTGAAACAAGGATTCCAGAGATATAAAGAATACTGAAATTCAAGTTATAACGAAGAAGTTATGACATGTCGAAGTTTCGCGGCAGAACCGACACGACGATGTGTGACGTAAAAAGTGAATTTACGATAAATTGCTTTTTAGCCTTAGCAATCTAAATGAAAGTCGTAGTATACGTTAAACCAAGAGTGTGCATAAAAAGAATGTCCAAATCTAACTCGTATGAGGAAGTTATGAATTTTTTAAGATTTGGTATAGTGATATGAAGCCCGAAACTCAAATTTTAGATCGAGAAATTTTTAGCCGACACAAGGATATTGCCATATTTATACATTTTTTTAGGCAATATTTAAGTATATTTAAATTAATATTTTGGTTATTTGTGAGGAATAATGATACTTATAAGGTTAAATTGTGTTTTGTAGCCAAATAGAAGGCATTTTGAAGAAAAGGGACTAAAAGCGTTAAAGAATAGAACTTTGGAGGATGATGACTTGAAAGAACAAAAATCCAACAAAAACACACAATCACGATGTGAGAATTGAAGGCTCACGACGTGATTTGAAACATTCTAGAAGATAAGCATCGCGTAGAAGAATCCGTGTCAAACACAGATAGATCTAAGCTCACGACGTGAGACATGCTTGCTCACGACGTGAGCACAGATAATTCAGAAACTATATATATCATTGATTATTACGTTTAGAGGAGTTTGGATGGCTTGGAGGAGTTCCAGAAGACGAAATTCACAGAAAAAGAAAGCTTGGGAATTGCTCTTAACACCAAGGAGGAAGAAGAAGTAATAATTTGATATTAGTTTGGTACTTTTAATATGTTTTTGATTATGGATTGTTTGTGCTTATTTGTTAGAATGTCCAACTAAATCTAGTTGCTTCTGTTAGATAGATGAAGCTGGAACGCATGATTTTATTTTATTAATCTAGACTTTGCTTGTTGGTTATGTCTTGTGTTTGATTGGTATACCTAGCATGCTTGGTTGGATAATTAGATTGCTTAAACTTCTCATTCTGTGTAGTTAGTAACCATTATTCTGCATGAATTTGAACTCCTAGTTAATGAACATTAGATTATTAGAGCTAAGATCGAACCAATCTTAGTTAAGGAATTGAATTATTAAATTAGGTTGTGCTAGAGAACTCATGTTATGACCATAATTTGTGTTTGTCAACCCAATCCTACATAACTCCAATATTATTAAAAAATTGATTATGTGTTACATTATGTTTAACCATACATAGATCTACATGAACTAATTGATATTAGTAAATTTAGAATTGAATTGCATCCTTATATGTTTGTATGCATGGCTTATGTGGCATGTATGGTTGATATGATTACGTGGATTATGTGGGGTATGCTCTGGGGAACTCACTAAGATTCATGCTTACAGTTTTGTTTATGGTTTCAGGTATCATTGGTTTGGAAAGGAAGGGCCCGACTTTATTGTAGCGCAGACACCCATGTTTTCTACATTATGTAATTTTGGGATGTAACTCTGATAAATGTTTTAATTAAGCAATGTTTTTGAATGGTTGGATTAAGTAGCATCTGTGTTTGACTGTAATGAAAAATGAAAATTTTACCCTGGATTTTTGGGTCGTTACAAGTTAGTATCAGAGCCTTGGTTTGAGGGATTCGAAGATACTTTCGGGTGTGTCTGAACTCAAACTGAGGATTTGTAAAGTTTTCAAAGAAAATGTTTTCAAGGAAAGAGTTTTCTAAGACAAGAAAGAGTGTGGTGCATGCAATCGGCCGAGCTCAAATAAGTTTTCCGCATAATACCCATATATGTTATATGTTATGACTTTATTTATGAATATGTGAATCGCATGCTAGTTAGGGCTAGGAGAGATGCCTTTGTATGTATGTTGTATGAGCTGGTAGACTTGCATGCTAGTGATGATTAGTCAACAATAGATTGGCCTGGTATGTAATGCTTGTAGCCTTGGGGATATTGGATGCTATGCTGGAATAGGAATGACTATTGGTATTACTTATTAGTAACTGCTAAGTGTATGCTTTAAAATTTGTATACGATTAGGATCTTATAGCTTTAGAATAATTGATTTGGCCTTATTTCCTGTTCCTTGTCTGGTTGTGATCCTAGGGTGGAGCCTATTATTCGATAGTGTATTAGATCTTGTTCTGTGTATAAATTGCATGTATAAGGCAGCCAACAGTGAGGGTGGATTTGGATAGCATGAGTTGTGGAATGTGAGTTGAATGTTCTATGATAGTTTCATGGGTTGGAGAGTCATTGCACGAATGTTTCTTACTTTGTGCTTTGTGGAACTCTTGAATGATAGGAGTTAGCTACTAAGTAAATATGACGATATTCAGGAGGTGGATGGCTAGCATCATGAGGAGTTCTTCAACAGATGATGGCAGGGTGATGTTAGGAACCTAGGAAAGCCTAGGATATGCTCTAGTGAGCTAGTGGGGCGGTTGGTGAGGTTGGGAGCCTAGGAGTTGCTTCAGTGAGTATTATTTTGCTGTTTAGCAGATATTTGGTGCATCAGTGGAGTATGTGAATTAGAGTATTTGGGATGATTATGGAGGAAAGTATGGATAGGTGTGGAAGGTAGTATTAATTCTTAAATTAGGTTTATCAAAACCCAAACTTATATATGCCTTAATTCTTAAATTAGTTAACATATAGAAATTACTCTCGATTCTAGAAGTAGTAAGTGATACCTTGCTAGCTTCCTCTTAATCTCCCCTTGTTGCTCCTTGAAAATCAAGTCAAAATCCCATTTTCTTCGTGTTTCTCTGCTCTGGAATGAATAAATGAGAAATGAGACGTTTTGATAACTCTCATATGTTTTTATCAGATTTTTTAAACTCATCAGTGACCCCACATTGTTGTTCTTCACTTGCTATGCCGCAACATGTAATGCCATGCATTCTTTTTACCGCATCGCCATTTCTTCTCCATTATGATGCTTTTCAATCTGTTGCAAAAAACTTCGTCATAAAAGTTATGGCATCCTACTTTTAACCGCGTCAGTTTCGCATCACATTATTTTTAAAGTATGTTGCCTTCATTGTTTATTTTATGTCAACCATTTTCTCACCTCCCAAAACGTTCCACGTTCCCTCTCTTTCCACGTCGCAGTTATAATTGCAAGAGTCTCCACTCTTCATTTTTTTTCCATTTTACCCCTGCCTACAAAATTTTACTTCATAACTCATTAAGCCATTTACATCAAGAACTTATTTATCTTATATCACATCTTAAGTTATATTATTTCTCTTTTTATAACATTAAAAAATCTACTAAAAAAGTGAGTATTATAAAAATGACCAAAATCCCTATTTAGTCTAAACACTTTATTATAACATCACTTAACTCCTAACACATACACTTTAACATTTTACACTCTCGAAACATTATAGATTATAAATCACTCAAAACAAAATGGGTGTCACACCTATCACCATAAACTACCTTATCTTGCCTCTCATATAGTTACATTACTCGACATACACCATTGAGCTTCCTTAAATTTGTTTGGCCCCTATTCTCCCTCTAATGACGCCGTTGTTGTTCCATTCTCATTGTTCTTATTTGAAGTCATCGACCCACCCCCATCGTTGTCTATAATTTAGGAAGAATGACTGGAGAGTGATTAAGCTAATGACACGTAATGAGAATTTGGTAATAAATCTTTAGGTTTTTGTAAGTGATGATGCTTCCATTTTTGTTTCTCCCGCTAACCATTTTCCGAAACACAAATTGGAGATAGATTTGGGTAAGAATTTCTTTAAGTTTTTGTAAAAGCTTTGCAAACTGATATTATTAGGTATCAGACTTTGATTCTAGTGGAATTTGTAAGGAATTTCTTTGGGTTTCAACTATTGTGCTTTTTTTTTTTTTTTTTTTTTTTTTAAATTTTTTATTTTGTGTATAATATTGACATTAAAGGGATTTTTATTTTTCAATCATGGATGAAAAATGATTTTGTTTTAATTATAGAGGGACATGTTGAAGATAGATAACGAAAGGGTAAGTATTGGAAAACCTATTAGTTAAAAAAGGTGGGGGTGGCAGTGAAGGGGGGGGGGGGGGGGAGGGTGGGATAAGGAAAATGAAGGGGTGAGATGGGTAAATGTTGTGGTAAAATGTCATTTTACATGAGCCATGGACCAACTCTGCAAAAATTGAAACAACTAAGACGAACGATTCAAGAAAAAAAATTAGGGACTGAAAATATGAATTTGATTAAAATTCAGGGACCATTTACGTAATTATGCTAGAAAACTATAAGGACTAAGTTTGTAATTTACTATTCTTTTTCTCAGTTTAGGGACCGGTATGTGAACAAGTAATCCGCTAGATCAACCAAGCCATCAACTTGCTGTTAGGCTGCCGACGTGTCATTATAAGAAACAAAATCATCTTGACATTAAGTACCAGCCGTTGATTTGCGACTTTGTAGTGGAAGTTTTTTGCAGGGTCCCCCTTCTTGTAAGGAAACCAAACCATAAAGATAAGCGGGTCTGCCCTTAGGGTTTGTTTCCCGACTCCTGTTCCATTCATTTCTGTTCTTAACCTTTCATCTCAATTCACCTATCCTTTGAATTCTTAAAAGATTTTGGATCCAATCACTTTCACTCATTAGACTCTTAATAATTGTTATTTTGGTGGTTTCTTAGCCAAAATCGTTGTGGCTGTTTCTTCCATGGCGTCGATTGGTAAGACGAATAATGAATCGGAAGCGGATGATGCTAATAACACAGCCAAAATTTTATCAACATCTGATCCAACGATGTTGAAGGAAGAGCCGGCGGATAGCGAGTTGGGGGGATCGATACCGGTTGCAATGGTGCCCGTGTCAATGTCTCAGAAACAAATGACGGTGGCGCCGCCCCGGAGGAGTTCTAAAGACCGTCATACGAAGGTGGAGGGACGCGGTCGACGAATCCGCATGCCGGCTGCTTGTGCTGCGAGAATCTTCCAATTAACTCGGGAACTCGGTCACAAGTCAGACGGAGAGACGATTCGGTGGTTGTTGGAGCACGCAGAGCCGGCTATCATTAAAGCCACCGGCACCGGGACGGTGCCGGCGCTCGCTGTTAATGTCAACGGGACATTAAAAATCCCGACGACGCCAAGCGAAGAAGGAGGTGACGTGAAAAGACGAAAAAGGGCTTGTAACAGCGAGTTTTATGATTTGAATGTTGCCGCAACTTCCAATTTTGCCCCCATAGCGCCGATTGCCCCACGAGCGCTCGTGCCGTTGTGGACCATGTGTGCACCACCGACCACCGGCGGGACTTTCTTCATGATTCCACCGTGTGGGGCCACCGGGGCAACCACATTCCATCAGTCCCAGTTGTGGGCCATACCCACCGGGGTAACACCTGTTTTCAATGTCCCATCAAGACCCATGACTAATTATTTGCCGGAAATGAAACCGGTGGTGGGTATCAGTAGTGGTGAAGTTCAGACGCCGGCGGTGAGTTCAAGTTCGATTTCAATTTCAACGAGGAGAACTGCGGAGGTTGTTAGGGATCTGTCATTGGAGCTTGGTGATAGAAGAGAGCTTCAATTCATGGAAGGCTGTTCAAAAGATCAAACGCCGCCTGCAAGTTAATCAATCGGCCAATTCTAATCCTCTTCTTTGTTTTAGTGCGTTAGAACCACGAAAGTTTTTTTCTTTAGAATTGTATCCTTTTTTATTTCTCTTTTTCCATATTAGCATCACTTTGTGCTTTTTCTGTGTAAATGAGTTTTTACCTTTTAGAAGAGAAAAGTAGGTAAAAGTGACATTGTATGTATAATTTTCTGTAATTAAATATTAGTATGAGAAAATAACATGTTCACATGACATATAATTATATAATTATTTCTAAAGGGCTATTCATTAATATGAATGATTTTTTCCCCATTGATCGCAAAAAGGTTATTTATATCAATGGAAAAAGTTCACAAATTAAACGAGATTATTTTTTCAAACATTGGAAGATCGTTCTTATTAAAAATCTTGTTTTAGGCCATGAATATACTCAAGCTTGTGATATTTTCACAAATATCATGTTTTTTGTGAGACTGAAATAGTGTCGAAAGTGGCTAATAAAATTATTTTAAAGATGTAAATACAATAAGTATTAAGAAAAGTGATAAGATGTATGGTTTCAACGCCTACAGTGTGTTCAAGTTTCATTGTTGACTATACTTTTTGGATAATTTTGTTAAGTCTTGTTTGTTTATATTATTAAGAAATATTTATCTAGGCCATTTTGAATGTTTTCGAACTTGTGAAATATGCATTAGACTCGTGAATTTATTTAAAAAGATAACTTGAATATCTTTTTATTTTTTATTTCTATTAATGTTCATACTAATATAAAATAATGACAATGAAATTCATTAATGCTCTCTTCCTATTGATTTGGACATTTACTTTTCCCTATTGAGAATGAAAAAAAAGGTAAATGTTATATTTGCCCATCCAATTTTTCGTGTTTTTTTAAAAGATCCCCAAACTGTTTTGTTTTGTTTTTTTTTTTTGTTTTGTTTTTTTTTGCACATTAAAGAAATATACTTTCATTTGACCGTTTAATTACATCCCTTTATCGATTGTAAAAGGTTTATCCCCTATTTTCGTGGTATGGACACCACCGTGGAATATTACTATTGAAATCTTGATCCCCAAGAATTGCTAAGTCATTGCTAATGGTTCCCTTATAAAACCGTCTTCCTATAAATCCGTCTTCCCCACCACTTTGTTACCTTAATACGTAACATTCACATCATCGACCACAACTTTGTTATCATAGGATCACATCTGTGCATAATTTTCCACTATGGTACATTCAACAAGAGACATTACATATTGCTTAGCTCTCCTACATTGTCCCATACTAACCTCTATGCCAAATTTAGTCTTTACTTCCTCTTTTAACATCCTAACATTGAATTTCTGATTCTCAAGCACTTCCCAGGTGAAATGAGTACCAATCAATCTGTAATTAACAATTGACCCTAATTTAAAATTTCTTGCACAATTGTGGTTAATGATAAGAGACTTGATTTGGAAAGAGTGCTCCTCACTCATCCATGATGCCCAAAGCCTAAATATGCATTCACCATTACTACACTTAACCAATAACCTTTTACTGCAATTTTTTTCAAAGTACAATTGATATCCATTTGCTACCGCATAATTACAAATTATAAATTTTAATTGTTTAGGATTGGTGAACCTCATACCTAGAATCGGCAACTGTTTCTTTCAAGGTATGTCTTCATTAAACATCGGTTTTCCTTTCACATCTGGGACATTATCATCTTCATCATCTTTTGGATCACCTTCTGTGACCTCCTCATTTCCATTACCCTGACTAACTCCTTCATAGGTTACTCCTTCCATGTTGATTTCTTGTGGACTCTTAATTTCAGTTAGGTCAATATCTTCTTCCCCTTCGATTGACATGTTTGACTTGACAGAATGATTATTCTTATTTTCATTTTCGTTTGCCTTCGTTACATGCACAGTAGTACCAAAATAGTCCATGTAAACAAAAACTTGTACTCCATATTCATAAGCAATGTCTATAAATTCTTGAAATTGACGTTCATTAAAAATCAAGGTTAAACCTTCTGGGATTTGTAAATCGTGTTGACAATAATAAACTTTCTCACACTTCTCTTGTGTTAATCGTTCAAGAAAACTCACAAACTCATTATATGACATACTAGCAAAAATCGACGTTCTCGAACACATGATGAACACTATTAGAATAGCAAAAAAGTTTGTTGATGAACACACCTTGGAAATGAACTTTAATTGAGAGGAATATAGCCATCGATCTTTAGTTACTATGGTATGACGACGAGGGTTTTCTTCAATGAGGAGGGGTTTCTTCAATGAGGGAGAGGGGATTGTATAACACAAACGGTTTACTTTATAACAAATTAATATAAGTATAACACATGTTGCCATTTCATTAAATGACGTGTTACCGATATTTTCCTTCGTGGCATGTATATTACCTATCAACCCGGTAGAAGGTAATATAAGAGTATTTTAAAACCGAAAAATAAAAGTATATTTCTTTAATGTGCAAAAAAAAAAAAGTTTGGAGACCTTTTAAAACAAACACGAAAATTTTGATGAACTAATATGTCATTTGTCCAAAAAAAAGGTAGAAAGATAATTAATTTTTAATAAAAATTTGCATCTATGGTTTATTCACAGCATGATGGACCTAAAACTCCCAAGCTTTTTGTAAAATAGATCTTTTGTTTAAAAAAAAAAAAAACATCACAAATTTAAGAAAATATAAATAGTTATTTTTTATAAAAGTTAAAAAGATTACAGACCTATTTGACATTTCATTCGTAATAACATATCTTAATATTTTAATATATTCTGTGTCAAATAATTTTTTGCATATAACAATTAATTAAAATTCATTTCTAATAAATTTACTTGACTTCAAAGGCAACTTAAAGGTCAAAAACTAAAGAGCAAGAAGTTAGTAAATATGTGGAAGATGGGTTCCACTATGGACCATGGAGTGAAGGTCACCGGTAATTAAATGCTTCCGTCCCTTCTTCCGCGTGTGAATGGTTTGCTTTGAGCTGCGTGCTTTAGGCACGTGATGGTTTGGTTTAACACGTGCAGGGGTGGGTCTCGTGGGTCCCGATGGAGTAACAGTGGGACCATGTCACTGAGATGCTGTGCGGGTGCGTATTTAGGCCCACATTAATTTCTATGCGGACCCCTACATGAGTACATGCTACATGTGGTGCTTTTAAAATCTTCTTATTAAAATAAATGACGTGTGGGTATATGCTTTGAATATTACATTAGATGATAATTATTTCATAATTAATTGTAACATAATGAATTGCATATAAGATTTTGTTTTTATATAATTTTATGAGAAATTTTAACAAATAATAAAAACACTAACTCTGTGCCAAAAAATTATCAAAGAAAAAAAAAGTTTTTCAAAAATTAACAATTTAGTTCTATGGACTCTGTTTCTTTGTAGATTGGACTTTAATTCAAATATTAGTGATATTTTTGTAATTTTACCTTACCACGTAGTAAGTTGCCTGAGTTCACACTACCCTCCCTATCTTCAGACTGGGGTACATTCTACAAACTAAAACAATATAAATATTTTGTAAATCATTTTTTTGGTTTTACTCGGTTTCTCTCTTTTTATTCTAGAAAATTGCTACATTATTATCTGTTTTTCTTTTCAATTTCTCACATTATATTATATTTTTTTTATAGGTTATTTGTCTTTGGAAAGTTAACAACTTAAAAGGAGATATATATTATTCTGATGATTAAGATTTATGTTTGGAACTTGAGTTGTAATTTTTAAATTGTAGACATGATAAATGAAAATTAAAATTAGAATATTTATCTATCTTTCGATTTCTTAAATTTTAAGGTGAAAGTGTGTCGCTGATATTTCACATGAAAAGTTATCAAACAAGAAATGGAAATATATTATATAACTTCATATTGATACAACCCAAAATCCCAAACTATTTTTTAATAATAATAAAACATCGTTTTTTTTTTTATAAAATTATATTCAAGTCAGTATTTGTTCATAAACCACCATTTAGGATTTAGAGTTAAAGAAGGCAATGCGGAAGCTTAAATCATAAATGTGCCGATGTGTGTGTATAGTCCCCCATTCACAATCTGATAAGTACATACAAAAATATTTAATTCACAACTCTAAGCACAAAGCTTAATGATTTTCCTCAAAATATTGCATACAACACAACATAATAATCGACTATGGGTTATCAGCAACCCTACAAAAATATTTAATACACAACTATAAGCACAAAACTTAATGCGTTTTTTCAAAATATCACACACAACACAACATAATAATAAACTACGGGTTATCAGCAACTCTGATAACTATTGGCACTCCTAGTGGGCTAACAACACACCCTGTGGATTAACATCACATGTCACGGGTTATCAGCAACCCTGAGGACTATCAGCAGTCCCATAGACTCACATCAGTCTAGGAGTTATCAGCAACCCAGTTCACATATAACAGAAATCAACAAATAAGACTTACCTGGTCAACATGCATATACTACAACACAAGTAAGTATAGTGAGAAGACTCACCTAAATGAAATAGCAGAAGCTCAACAACATTCCCAACAACATAACAGCTAATCCAAGTTACCTAAAGCCAAACCAAGACTATCCCTTAGCTAAATACCTACTTCTATCCAAGTTTGACCAAAAGTCAAACCGGTCAAAAAGTTAACGGATCGACTCTATGCATGCGTACAAGCTGTTATACGCATGACGTAGAGCTCTAGATGGAGATGGGCCAAAACTAATCCACACTCAACGTAGGGGGATTTACGCCCCGCGTAGCAGTCTGATTGCCAAAAAATCCATTAAGCTCTTAATATAAAAAGTTAGATCTTCAAACTTCTAAATAATGACCTTTATAATGTCTTAATGGATAAAGTTTCCAAATTTACCCATTAAGACACTCCAATCAAGAAAGATATAATCTTTATGCACTAAAATGACTAAAAATGCTAACACAACTTGCATGGCTTACAGAACAAGCACCAAAGCATAACTTTCCAAGTCCAACAACTCCCAAGAGTGTTCCATATAACTCAAAAGGTGTTGGAGTTCTCTTAACTCCCAAAACACAAGCTCAAGGGACTTAAAAAGTGACAAAAATGACCAATAACAAGATCTAAGAAATCAATGAGCAAGTTGGAAGCTTTTTACACACAATGGTCCAGAAATAAAGCAACCTTGTTGGATCTATACTTGAATCCTTCTTTCATATACTTTACAAACGCCTTATTCTTCAATATCAACTACCAAATGAACAAGATACGCTCACCAAAAGGTAACAAGGCTTAAAAAAAAGCAAAAGAGGGCTATGGTTTTTCAAGGAATGATCTTAGGTGATAGAGACTGGTTATGGGAAGGATCCCAAAAAGTTGGAGCCCTTAAAAATGGCTCAAAACCTTAGAATTAGGGTTTTGATCTACAGTGGCTATGCCCTGCGTAGCATCACCTACATCCTTCATAGGTCATTAAACTTGCGTTCATCATTCAACACCTACACCCAACATAACTTTCCTAGCCATGCGTAGGGAAAAAACCCCCAACTTCCAATTCAACTTCAAATAGCTATAACTTCTTAGTTTCAACTCCGTTGTTGGCGTTCATTATATGCATGGTATCAATGGGCCCCATAATTCTATCTAGTTACTTTTTGATTAACACATATCAAACTAAAATCATAATCCATGCAATAAGCCCATCATATAACTTTTCCTGTTTTACCATGTGGTTCTAGCACACAAATCAAGGGCTTATATATCATAACCAATATTATCAACCTTCAACACGGCTAAACTTTACTTCCTTAAAGACCAAAGCCTTTACATGACCAAGTTATGGTCGACAAACCCTGAATTAAGAAACATCTTGAAACAGGGTGTTACATATATTCTATACAATAAAATTATTTAATAAAACAAATGTTTTCATCTTATATATATATATATATATATATATATATATATATATATATATATATATATATATATATCATCCTAATCCTAGTAAAAGAATAGTTTAGGACACTTGCAACTTTCTGCAACTTCTATATGACACGTGTCCTCATATTGTTCATTATTCTTTATGTTTTCTGCTTAAATTTTTATCCCTGGCTATGGAACTGGCTTTCATTTCTATTATCCAAAATTTAAATTAATTTTTTTTATCTCAATCATGTAAAAAACGATATTTTCCCATAATAGTTTTATACGACACATCCTTAATAAATACAAACAGAGAGCATAATAGATTAGCTACAAGTGGGCTAACAATCTAATAGGCTACATACATACAATACAATATAGAGATACACTAATTTGTCCCCACAGTTTGAGCGGGAGATATAGAGCAAAAACTCAAACTGGTCCTAAATTTGGTGAGTAGAGATGTAGGGATCCCTTTGGTGAAGATATCTACACACTGAAGTGATGGGTTTTGTACATAAGAACATTCCTAAGTGCGCATACAAACCCTAATGCTTGGATCTAGGTTTCTCTATTAAACATGCTTTGAATCCAAGGCTTCTAATGACTTATTAGGTGTAAGAACAACACAAAATCAGATCTAGAAACATACCTTTGATTCTCTTGTTTGATCTTGTTGTCTTGGAGCTCTAGAGTCACAATTGTCACTCTTCTAATGGCTTACAAACACCAACTAGCAAAGAGGATGATTTGAGAGAGAGGAGAGGGGATGGAATTCGACCAGAGTATCCTTACTTTAGAAGATGTGTCGAATTCCTTCAGCCATAGGGTCTATTTATACTTGTAGACTCCTTAAGGGTTACAACTTAAACCCTAGTTGGATAACTATTACTCAAAGCAATCCAAATCCTTCCAAGATAATGCCTTGGATGAATCTAGGGCTTATCCTAGCCTAGAATTCGTTCAACCCTTTATCCAATAAGGATTTACAGTCTAAAGT